TTTTTTTTTTTTTTTTATCCTGCAACAAATTTGATAGCTTAACCAAATTTAACAATAATATATCAAAAGATATTGAATGTTACAAATTTGCACTCTTTTTTTTCTTTAAATTTGTACTGACTTTGTCGCGTTAATTTGCACTATTCGCTAACCTGTTTTAGCGTTCACCACAGCAGTTTTGTGGCACTTGGGTATTACACTAATATTTCGCCTGTTCTTCTGTCTTGATCAATGAGATAACTCAGACTGTTTTTGTTGGTGCTGTTTTTTGTTTTTGTTGATTAATTCAAACATCAGGTTTTCGATTAATTGGATCAAAAGGTCGTCTGAAAGTACTGTTCGTCGGTCAACTCTTGCTGCAATGGTGCTGTCGTTTTGGGTGAAACTCCTCATTACATTTATTTCCTTCTTAGCTTATTGGCTATGGTAATCAACCTGTTTTTATAATCAATTTCTTTTTTCCTCTTACTTTTTTTTTACTTATTTATTTTTTTAACCAAAAAATTGCTTTTTTCTTTTTTGAAAAAATAAACAAATAATTGAAAACAATTGGCTACAAATTGATTTTGTTATAATTTATAATTAAACAGATGAGTGATAAAAAATTTTACCGGAAATCCTGGTGGGTGGTTATACATAACCATGAATATTCTATGTAAACGAGAAGTGTCAATCTAAAACAAAACTTTTTCTTCTTTGTTTAAATTTTATGAAGTTTATCATAAATTTTAATTATTATACACTCTCAATGCGGTTTTGTTATCAAAGTTATTAAGTTATTAAAATTGGCAACATTTAACTGGTAGCAGAAAGACACATTTTTGATGTTTAAAACATTACGCCTATGACTACTAAAAGGCTCTCTAGTTAAGATCACTTTGATCTTGTTTTCCAGTCAACTTAGAAGACTCTACTTTAGAAAACTGCTCCAGATTTCTTTTGTCAGTTTTGGCAACGAGCATAACAAAAGACTGTTTTCTGGTTTGTCTAGGGCTTTTAGGATTCGGAGAATCTTAACGAATAAGTTAACGGGTGGCTCGTGCTCAAATTTATTCATAATTAAATCAGAAAAGCGTATAAATCGTAATTGTTGCACTTATCTGCCTATCAATTTTAGCTTTTGCTGCAAAATAAAGCATTAAGCTGTTGACACTAATCTTCGGGCTGCTTCACTTTATTTCATCTTTGGTGGAAAAAGTCAAACTAATTAAAGAAAAAATTATAATAAAATTTGTTAAAATAATAAAATAAGAAACTAACAGAACTTTCACAGCGATTGAGTGAGATGTTTGTTATATTGCTTAAAAAAACTAACTAAGGAAGTAAGCATTCATTTATGCTATAGTTTTTTTTTTTACTTTAGATTCAGTTTCCATATTTGAAACTGTTACAACAAAAATAGCTTTGAAATATTTGTAATTTTTGTTAATTGTACTTGTTCTTCTGCACAGAATCACAGTAATAAAACTTTAGTATTACGCAACTTTTACTTCAATATCACATTTGTTTCTTAATTTTTCATCACATTTTTTAATTTTATTTATTTAATCTCATTTAAGTTTTTACAATCCTTCATTTAACAAGATTTCACCAAAGAAATCGTCTTTGCCATAATTATCTTTATAAAAGTTACTTCGTTGCATAATAATTTATGATGACACGAACTACCTTTTTGTATTTTTCGTTCGAAAAAAAAAACTAAAGCAAGATTTTCAAAAAATTCTTCTAAAGAGTAACTGTAAACTGTGCGCTCTACATGTCAGTCTTCTTAGAAGAACTGCTGTACAGCTGTTGATAGAGAAGTTTGCGATGATATTTCAATTTTTTACTCACTATACTTCTAGTTTTTCCTTTATTTTACCAAAAACTAGAGTTTAAGAGTAATTATCGATTAAGAAAAAACCAGTAATTCTAAAAACTAAAACATTTGAACAATACAGTCTCAACCGTTGAAAATGCTACGACACTGAGAGTGTGGTCTTCAAACGTCTCGAAAGTAGTGTTTTAACTGAAAAAATTTTATTAAAAAAAACATGAAGTTTGCTTGCAAAATTGTTACTGTATTAAATATCTGTTTTTTGGTTATATTTTTTAGTACTTTTTACTTGTCTAAACAGGTAATCATCTGTAATCGCCAATAGTTCTGAAGGACAGATTTAGGCGTCGCTGGAGAGCTTTTCAACTTCGTGACGAACTCGGATTGAAAGGACCGCCGTACAGCTTTTGGTGGGGAAGTTTGCCTTGGTATTTCAAGAGTTTTGAAGCAGGTAAACCAAATGACAGATACAAACGTGATTACGAATGGATGCAAGAATACGGCAAAGTTTATGGGTATTATATTTTCAAGATTTTTTGGTAGCAAAAATCTTATGTTTTGAGCAACTAAAGACGTTAAAAAAAAAGATAACATAGATATGCCAAAGAAATTATTTGGAACATTTTATGCCAGGCCATAAAAAAGTTCTTTTTCTTTCTTAAAATTTTCTAAAAATTTATCAGAGTCTACATTGGGCCAAAACTACAAATTTTTGTCGGCGATCCTGAAATTGTGCAACAAGTATTTGTGAAACAGTTTCGAAAGTTTTCGGATCGGACGGTGAAAGAATTTGTTAAATATACAGGTTGGTGACTTAGCCAATTAACTGATACGCATAAATTTTTGAATATATTTTTCTTCTTTAATTTTGCTTATAAACTTTTAAAATATAACTACCTTTTAATCAAAAACAGCTTGTGATTTGCTGGTTTTTAATTTAAGGCAGATATAACACGGTTTTTTAATGTATTTTCTAAGGCAAGGTTTGTTCTGACTTTTAGTCACTAATCTTTTTTAAATCAAAATAATTGATCGTTATTGCATGGTTCTAAACAAATGATAAACATAGTTTTTTAGATGTTTGAAGTACTACTGCTTTGCTGTTTATTCTTCAAAAACAGCTTTTTTAACATTTTGAGCTGCTTTTGAAGTAAAAATAATAATTAAAAATAATAAATTTTTTTTCGTAAAATTACTTAAATTTGAATAAACAAAAAAAAATTTTTTTTATGTTTTTCAAACAAAAAGGTATAATAGTTTTTAGATGGTGAAAAATTGGTTTTACTGCTGACTTTTGGTTATTAATGATTAAAAAATGTTGAATGGTGCAGTTAAATGAAGTACTTCTAAAGAGTTTAAAGGCAAACTAAAGAAATTACACAAAACTGTAAAACAGTTAGCTAATTTTAGATTTAAAAGACAGTCTTTTACAAATAACGTACGCTGATGGTTGGAAAAATGTACGCAGCTCAATGTCACCAATATTTACCACTGGAAAACTTAAAATTCTTCACCACATTGTTGATCGTGTTATTGATAAATTTATGGAAAAAATGAACGAACGTGCAACCAAAGCAGAAACATTTGATATCTACTGGTAGATCCGTTTATTATCAACTTTTTTTTTTTTGCTTCAGGATTGAAATGAATAGTGGTCGAACATCAAAAGATACACTATGACGCCACAAACCATAATGCATAGAGCTTTTTTTACATTTGTATAACATTTAATTAGCGATTAATTTAACGTAGAAGACCAGTAATTCTTTAAAAATTGGTTTAGCAGCAATTTAGAACTGGAACTAGACATCATTTATTCCAAACCTAATGGTTATTTCAGGGACTTCCAATCACTAACTTTAGATGTTATTGCTAGATGCGCTTTTGGAATCAACAGTAACGCTCTTACAGATCCAAAAGACCCGTTCTTGCTTAATGCAGTAAACGTTTTTCGCGAATTTGATAGTGTAAATAACTGGTGGATCTTAGCTGCTTGTAAGTGAATAAATCAACATATAGTACAATTATTACATAGTATTTCATAAGACAAATTAATCTGGACTAAAATTTCACAACAGTTTTTGCATTATTACAAAATCAAAACAGCATTGAGTAAGTTCTTTTAACACTCACTAAAGATTAATCACCACTTAGTGATGTTCCCAGAATTTGGTTTTCTGACGAGATTTTTTTATCGTGGTTCAAAACTGCAACTAGCTGAAAAGGTCCTCACCGATGAACTGGTGGAAGAATATTACAGGCGTGTGAGGGGTCATAAAGAACCAGAATCCCCAGATGTTATGCAGTTGTTAATAGACAGCAACGACGTATAGATTCTAATACTTATCTTTTCTTAAAATCATAACAGTTTTATTCTTTTTTTCTTCTCAATTTTTCTCAACAAATCTTTCAACTGCGGTTTATGAAACTAAACCATAGCGTTTCTTAGAACAGTTAATAAAAAATTATGATTAATTATAACTTCATTTGTTACTTCTTGGCTTTTTGGTGTATTGCATTATTTTCTTTGAAATTAAGCAGAAGAACTTGCTGGCAAAAGCATTTTTTTGTTTTAATAAAAGACAAAAAAGTTACAATTTTAGCTTAACCTGCGATACTGACAAGGATTTATTGACAAAAAAGACAGAGGCGCAAAAAAGTTTGCGATAACTGTTCTGTACATTACTTAATTTTAGCGAATTCCAAAAGCTTACATTGTTCAAAACTGTTATTTCTTTCTCCTCGCTGGGTACGAAACAACCAGTACTTCACTCGGATTTTGTGCTTGGTGTTTAGCTAAACATGGCAATGTACAAGAACGATTATACGAAGAAATACAAGAAGCCATAAGGAAAGACGAAGGGGTAACAAACCTTAAATTGGACCTCAAACTTGTCGCAAGGAGTTTGTTTGTAAAAGATTGACCCTTTCCTAATACAGTCACTATTTCTGATTAATGCTGTGTGTTACTAAAGTACTTTTACAGGAGTTCAAACTAGAGACTTTCATGAAGCTGCCCTATTTAGATTTGGTTTTCAAGGAGGTGTTACGATACTGCACGCCCGTTTTTTCGTAAGCACACACTCGTTTAAATCTTCTATATTTATTTACCAAGTCTTTATGTCTGAAAAATAATTATCAGTATAGCTTACGTTAGGCTTATTTATAATGACACGTTTATAGCTTTGTTTTTGTGTTAGAATAAGACGAAACTTTAAGGTTTATTACTCGTGAGTGTATAGAAGAAACGGTGATAAAAAATATACGCTTCCCTAAAGGAGTATGGGTTAATTTGCCTTCGTATTCACTGCATCACAATCCACTTATATGGGAAGACCCTGATAAATTTTTGCCTGAAAGGTTACACTACGAGATTTTCAGAGCTTATGCATTGTATTTTTGAGAGACTTTGAATAAGCAACAAAAAGCACTTTGGTCATTCGATTCTATTCTAAACATATACACATGCTTCCCCCGCATACCTGAAGTTTCAGGTTTTTGAAATTGACACCAGAGCAGGAACAGGCATTTGCGCCATTTGGCATTGGGCCAAGAAACTGCCTTGGAATGCGCTTCGCAGAAATGGAGTTTAAAATGACCATTGCTCGGTTAATTTCCAAGTACAGAATTGTTTTAACATCCAAAAGTCAGGTAACGACTCTTTAAGGCTGTTCTACTGAAACTTAAAAACTAATATTAAAATTACTAATATCTTCTTTAACCTGTGCTAGCTAGTTAAGCGTTTGCTTAAGTATTTTTCCTTTCAGGATCCTCTTCAAGTAACTGCTCAGACAGTTATATGTAGACCGTTTTCTGAAGTTGCTGTAAAATTAAACGAACGTGTATGACGATGATATATGCAATACACTAGAAGAAGTTATCAAAAAAGGAAATTTACCAAACATTATTTGATTTTGGCAGTTTTTTACAGAAATTTGATGCTTTTTAAGTAAATTAAATTTTAGAGGTTGACAGAATTTTTTATCATCAAATTTTTTTGACATCACGAGTAAAGGACATTACCGATAAGAATTTCAATGGTAAATTTTTGAAATTTTGAAATGTTCTGCCATTCACTGTTTGGATGAAATTTAAAGACATTGTTAAAAGACGTGCTACATGTTGTTATATGTGATAGATTATTAGCACTTTGTTGAATTATGTCAAAAATTTTTTTATTTTTTTGATTCAAACTGCTGCTGCAACAATAGAAGTAAAGCATTTTACAATTGTACTCTAAGAATTTGGTTTTCTAGCCTTTTGCCGCATTATTCTAAAGAAGTACACATTGATACAGTGATGTCAGTGGAATAAAAGTGAACATGTCAAAGCAATTTGAACAACTAGTGACCTCTAGATTGCCTAAAAGATTAGAAGTTTAGAAATGGAAACATGTTTCTTATAAATGTTGGCAGAGTTTGATTTACATCTGGATTCGAGATGTTGTACATTTCAACAGTACAGTCAGAGCAGTAAACTTGAACTTGAATATCTCTTGGTTGTATGCCGTTACCCGGTTCCTGGACGACAGCCATTCCAGATGGCTCCTGAAATTAAACTTATACACAGCTGTAGTTCTTGAATGAAACATTAAGTGAATTTTTGTTATCGTTAAAATACTTATAAATAAGGTTTTACGCACACTGTTTTTCTGTCTCACCTCAAATTAGTCATAGCGATGTAACGCTGAGGAAGTATACCCGCAAAAACTAGATTTAGTTTATTTTTAAATGTCTTCTGGTCTCTCGTTTGCAGACTTATTAATTTAAATGCTTCAACAAATTATAGGCTGAAATCAATTAAGAAAACTTAATTTACAGTATAGACAGAAAAGATGCATTTTAAAAAAGTGATTTTAGCGCAGATAAAATAGCTTTTGTACTTGATCAAAATCAGTACTGCACAGTTAACGTCAAAGATATTGCTAATCAAGCTATAAAAATTTGCAGTTCTGAATCCAAGTTTAAAAAATTTATTTTAACTTACCACTGTTTATTTCTGCAGCTTAAATAGATTTAATATAGCAAACCAAGTAATAATACTGTTTTTCGTCTTATTTACCATTTTGAAAATATAAACAAGGTGGAATACATAAACGTTGGTAAAATATTAAATGCATAAAACTTTCATGTTGATAGTTTACAGGTCTAAGTGACTAAATGTCACCAAAATATTGAAAAAAAAGTGTTTTTACTTTAGCTTTTAGAGGTGGTCTAACTGACTGTCAATTTAATATGGCAGGCTATTGAAACTAAAACTGTAAACAGAAAATTATCGTTATTAAATGAACAATTCAGAATTAACTTATAGTTTGTTTTTTCTCAGCTAAAAAGCTTCACTAACCTGCCGCTTTGCTACTTGCCCATTTCCAACAGTGTTAATTGGAGGCGCCATAAAAGGTCCATTACCGAATTGCCCATTGATGATTGAAGATAGTACCGATAATACACAGATAACAACTGATGTTAACGCCATTACAAAACTGGTATTCTAAATTTAAATAAACAGCGTTAAGCTTATGTCACAGACAAACTTTAGCTGACTAAATGTATACCAGTATTTCCAGAAAATAAATGAATAAAAGCTCTGACAACAGAGTTGCAACTTTAACTTAAATACTTTTTCAAGTTTTTGTTGGTTGTGTAAAATAATCAGTTTCGAGTATCTTATTACTCTTTATTTTTTTCTTCTTTTTGTGAATTAGTTGGCAAAAAAAAGTCTAATAAAAAAGACATCAGAAGAGTTTGTTTGACAAGTGCCTTGCAAAGAGAAAAAGCTTGAAAATCTAAATAAATTTTTAAAAAAATGTTTTTGATATTTTTTATGATTTCTTGAAGATTTTTTTTTTTGTTTTGTTTATTCGCATTTCTGCAAAAATTGCCTATTTTATTTAAAGTTGAAACATTCGCTAGCTAATTGTTATCAAGATAACTGACTGAAATAAGTAAAAGATTGAAAGTTATTTTTATAATTCAAAAGTGTAAGTGTTAAGTTGTTATTAAATGTGTGATTAAATGTTCGGCACAGTTGAAAAACAATAAAGCTGACAAACGCTTCGTTTTCCAAGGCCGGGAATATTATACGAACGATACAAAGTACTAAACTGACCAAAAAAAAAAAAAACAAGAAGCAAAACTACAGGCAAATAGACAAATTGTGTCAGAAAATAGATTAGCTAAATTTGGAACATATTCTCACCCAATAAAGTAATAAAAATAAAAATTATTGGGTACATCAAAAAAAGCACAAAATTTGTTGAATACTACGGTTATAAATGTTTTGATTATAAAGAACTTGTGCAAACTTGGAGAAACAAAAAAAAAAAATCAATTAGAAAAAAATTTTATTACAACTTACAGTTACAAAGTATCAATTTTGTTTTTTTTTTTTTTTTTTTTTTTT